CCCAGCTGCAAGTTTCCAGTGACGCGTATCGCCGCCCAGCTCCTCCGCGACTTGTTCCCGATCGCCCAGCTCGTGTCCGCCGCATCTCGCGACCGTGTTCCACGCGCTCGTCAGTCCGTGCCTGCCCAAGAATCCTCATGCGCATAGGATTCGTGCACGCACGTTCGCGTGAAGACCAGACCCCGCTCGCCTTGTCCGTCCCGACCTAGGAGAGCTGCACGACATGCGCCAGTGCAACATCCGCGACCTGCTGCCCCGCGCGTCACGGCCGACGCCACCAGCCAGCAACACGCACCACACGGCCAGACCGCGACCCGTGCCTGTCCGTGACCCGCATCTGTCTGTGACCCGAACCGCTGCGACCCGACCCGACGCGAGACTGATCCAAACCTGCCCAACCGGCCTGAGCCCGAGAAGTTCGTTTCGGTGATCCGTTCGTGATTCAACATCGACTAGAGTCGACAAAGGCCAAACTCTTCAACTAATTGAGTTGTGGTAAACAGACGATCTCCATCAAAGGAAATCAGAAACGTCTCTGAGTCAGCAAAAATTTAAAAGGTAATGTCCTAATCCTAACTATAGATTCCGCTGCGTTAGGATTTATTTCGGTAAGTTCAATACTATGCATGTCGTTGACGTTCCTCATAGAACCCAACAACTGGTATCAGAGCCCATATTAATTAAACTTTGTGCATAGTTTGAATTAGGACTTGCCTGTTTACATGAATTAATTGCGTACAGATGCAGCGGCATAGTAGATTAGAAATTGCAATTGTTTGCAGGTGATTTCGAATCCGACTATTATGGCCCGTATGTATGATTTTAATTCGTGTTTTGAATGTATGGAGTTTTATAAGCCTCAGACATGTCGAGGAGTTTTTGGGTTGGTGATTGCTTGTAATATATTATTCGCACAGTGGGACACTGCATAGTTTACTGCTTTCATAGAAAACTCATGTACGACTCCTGCGCGGGTCATAGGATGAATTATGTAATTGTCGTTTTATATTATTCATTATTGATCCGGTGGATGTGGACCAAACTCGACGGGGCGAGGTGACAAACACACAGACGGATGCCATGGTGATAATCCAATGGCGACATTCCCAGAGACGACCTTTTCAGAAAGAAGAGTGAGAGTCATTGCGAAAGGGGTGTTCCAATTCTTGAAACGAAAGACACTATTCAACAAGGGCAGGATTGTGTTTCTCCGTAATATTGGAGATTGATTAATGACCATGATAGTTGGATTATAGTTCCTAGTTATTATTGCTATTAATCATGCATGCTCTTATGTGATTTATTTGCTCTATGTGCAAGTTAAATTATTAGAGGCATGATTTAGAAAATCCCTTAAAATAAAAATTACTAAGTGTGTAATGGGTTGAAATAAATTACATCCAAGGCCTCCATTATAGGTTTGTCAGTGAAGTAATTTCAATCGAGCCCAAAGGATGGTTTATTTCATGGTTCACAAGGACAAATCTCCTTCGGGATGGTAGTAGCGAGCTATTACAAAAGAGTACGGGTCATCCAAAGGTGAACGTATGATTTTGTGGTAGTGAACTTGGTACCAATTAATGGGTTACACTTAAAGTGCAAATAATTACGATATTCCCAAAGGAAAAGGTTGTTTCTATTATGCACTGGCCAAAAGATGAATCGGCTATTTTTGTCAGTATGTTAATTAATGGGATAAATCCCTCCTCTTGCGATGGTTTGAACCGTAGACGTCCACACTCCGTGACCTGCGGGGATTTGGTGTTTAGAGGTGTCGTTGAATTTATTTGAATATTGTTGTTAGGGATCAATATTTGATGTTAAATTCTAAACCACTTGACTGAGTAAAAACTATGTTTACATGATCTCAGGAATTCAAAATGTCTTTCAATCCGTTGTCCGTAATTCTCAAAGAAAACCAACTTGTTGGTCCCAATTACATTGACTGGAAAAGGAACTTGGATATAGTGTTAACTGCTGAAGGGTACAGATTTTCTACTGTTGAGGCTTGTCCGGATGTGCCTGCAAATAATGCGCCAGATAATGAGAAAGAGGCATATGCCAGGTGCAAAAAGGCTGATGAGATGGCGAAGTGTTACATCTTGGCATCTTTGTCAAATGTACTTCAACATCAACATCAGTCTATGGACACTGTAGCTGAAATGCTCCTCAATCTCAAGGAGTTGTTTGGCCATCAGTCGCGGGCTGCCCAACAAGAAGCCATGAGGGTTCTGATGAACACAACCATACATGAGGGCACTCCCGTAAGGGATCATGTTCTTGCTATCATGGCCCAGCTGAATGAGCTGGAGGTCTTAGGGGCTTTTATTGATGGGGAAACCCAGGTCGATATAGTGCTCCAGTCTTTGCCAAAGAGCTTCGAACAGTTCCGGTTGAATTATAACATGAATAAGATGTTGATGACTCATCCGAAACTTGTTGCTGAACTTCAGTCGACAGAGGGCTTGTTTCGTCACAAGTCCCAAGCTATGGTTGCCCAGCGGAGAGAAGGTTCTTCTTCTAGGCCTTCTAAGGGTAAGAAAAGGAAGAAATCCTCGGGGAAGGAAAAGTGGTCATGGCTGATGCGCGACCTCAGCAAGCTGCGAAGAAGCCAAATGGCAAGTGCCTCAACTGTCAGCAGAAGGGACACTGGAAGGCCAACTCCCTCTCCTCAAGAAGGGCAATAAAGGTACATCTTTTTCATTAGTCGTTGAAACATGTTTTGCGGTGTTATCTACCAGAACCTGGTGTGTAGATACAGGAGCCACTGATCATGTCTGTAACTCTTTGCAGGGGTTCCAAGAAACCAAACGACTTAGGGAAGGAGAAGTTACCATCTATTTGGGCGATGCTAGTAGAGCGTCAGCAGTTGCAGTGGGGGACGTCTATTTAGATTTTGGTATATATAGAACTTTGGTTTTGAAAGATTGTCTTTATGTTTCTAGTTTTAGAAAGAATTTGATTTCAGTTTCTAAGTTGTTTATGCACGGTTTTTCTGCCATTTCCAATAATAAAGTTGTTATTCGTTTTGGCAAAAATTTCATATGTTCTGGTACATTGGTAGACAATCTGTATATTTTAGAACCAAAATCATCTCCACTGCAACAGAAACAATTACTTAATTCATCATCTAACCTGAATAAGAGAAAGGAACATTCGAAAATGAACGAAACATATCTTTGGCATTTAAGATGTGGTCATATAAACCTAAGGAGGATTCAAAGGTTGGTAGCAGACTGGCCCTTGGGGTCGTTGGAAGTCGAGGCTTTTCCAACTTGCGAGTCTTGCCTAGAAGGCAAAATGACCAAGAGGGTTTTTCAATCAAAAGGGAATAGAGCCGAAGATTTGTAAGGGCTAGTTCATTCTGATCTTTGTGGTCCATGTATGTTCAATTAAGAGGTGGTTTCGAGTACTTCGTTACATTTATCGATGACTACTCGAAATATGG